AAAACATAAATAAATACAGTTAAGTAAGTTTTCAAGTTTAACTCTTTTTTAATTGATGATTAATGAATTTAAGAGGGTATATTTAAAATGATTATATTGTGGAAGAATAGAAATATAAAGTAGAAAATTGAGAAATTTGCATTTATATGATAATATAAATATTAAATGAAAGGAAATGATATATTATTTTTAGGACTAAGTTCATAACCAGAAAATCTTTAAATGGAATTATAGGCAGAATAATAAAATGAATATGAAAGAGAATATTTAGAGGCTGATTTGGGTTCAAGAGTAAGAACAAGAAATCCAAGTTCAAACAATTTTACACATAAATCAACCATCTAAATTGAGACACACAGAAATTGTGAAGTATTATATTATTGATTATAAAGCCTTTAATTGTTACTAAAGAAGAAAGTAATAAGATTGCTAAGAAAAAAACTGGGATCAATTTTATGAAATATTTTTATTTGAAGAGATTTATTTAAAGAATTAGAAATAATCGATCACAATTAACTAATGTTAATGAAAATCATATAAAATTGATTAATGATAATTCTAGTGATAGGTATCATTTAAATAATTTAGTTAAGTGATGATGTCTTATCTAAAATTTAATGGTCATCCTAAATTCTAAATACAAAATGTAACTATGCTTTTTAGAGACAATACAATTAGTAAATAAGAAAATAGATTCAAAATATATTTAAACGAAAAAAATTAACAATTTAAAAAGTATATACATGAATTAGTTTCTAAAATACCATAAATACATCCAGAAACACCTAAAAAAATAGTTTGGGATTATTGGACTATTGTATTTAGATTAATATTATTAATACTTATACCTTTAGAGATTTCATATAAGCCAAATATTTTATTTGAATAATTAGTTGGTTTAACTATTACTATCATAATAATTTTAATTATTGATAATATATTTAGATTAAATACAATATTCTATTAACATGGACATGCTGTTTTTGATAGATGGAAGATTATTCAATAAAATTTGCGTTTTTAATTTGTATCAGATTTAACTTTAATTTTATTATTAATATATTTTATTTAATTTGATGGCAATCAATTTTAATATTTAGTGCTTTTGATATCTTTGACATAACATTATTAAATTAATAATACATTAGAAAAAAGTGAGGAATCCTCATACTTTACTAAAAAATAGAAAGCTTTTATAAGTTTATTCAAACTTTTAACTTATTTAATATATGTATTACATCTATTTTCATGTATATGGTTTTTTAATAGTTCCTTAAATACATAAAATTCTTGGATTATTTTAAAGGAATTAGATCATTAAACATGGTAAGTACAATATTTAGAAGCTTTTTATTTTGCAATTGTAACTATGTTAACTATTGGATATGGAGATAATGTTCCAAAATCATGGAATGAGAAAATAATTGCAATATTCTTTATATTAAGTGCTTGTTTATGGTTTTCCTATAGTATTAATACAATAGGAACAATAATTAAAGAGATCAATTTAAATTTAGTAGAAAGAAGTAAAAAGATTAGAGTCATAAATAGATATATGCATTAAAGAAATATTCCATATAGTTTACAATATAAAATTAGAGAATATTTAACATTTAGATGGAAAGAAGAGTCTGAAATCGATCTTCAATAAGAAGAAACATTATTAAATGAATTATCAGAAGAATTAAAATAAGAATTAAAAAAATAAGCAAACAATGTATTTTTCAAACATTGTGATTTTTTATTTAAAAATTTTAGTTTAGAATTGTAAAATTCATTATCCCCTTATATTAAAAGAAAGATAATCTAACCTTAAAATTCTTTTTCTATTTATACATTAAGTGAAGTATATTAGCCACATTTATGTTTTGTTGAATAAGGATAATTGTAATATTAGAATTTCTTAAAAGTTTCATTAAAAAGTGTTTAATCACAAGGTTAATTTGTAGATGCATCAGAATTCATTGAAGAAAGTGATAATGTGTAAACATTTAAAGCAATTGGTTATGTTAGTTTATTAATTTTAAGTAAAGTAAATTAATTCAATTATATTTTTAGACAGATTTTATGAGTATTATTCGTTAATATCCAAAAGATTACTAAAAATATTGTCATATAAAAGATTAATATATATTATCAGTCAGATAAAAACATTTGCCTTATAGTTAATTTTGTATTGCATGTGGTAACAATACTCATGGATTGAAAGAATGTTCAAATCTATCAATTACATTAGATAGAGAATTAATTATCAAAAGAAATTAATATACTGTTGAATAAAAAAGATAACATCATAAAAGATCTAAAAAAAGAGGGAAAACCTCATTTTCAACTCTTTGTGATAGAGATATTATTGAATAATTTGTTATTTATTTTTAAAATGAATAACCAAAATTAGTTTAAATTTAATTAGGCAAATAATTAGTAATAGAACAAGAATGTGAAGATGCAAAATCTGAACTTAATGATTAATCTCAATTAACTAAGAATTTCAAATTTAGAAGATAGGATTCTGTACCAGTTCCAAGATATTCTTAATAGAGTTATGAAGGTCTATCTATAAATAAATAACTTTGTCTTAATGATTCAGTTATTTCTAGTGAAAATAATTCTATTTAAAATTTAAAGTTATCAACTAGATAGTAACATATGATAAATACAAATAAATTTATGACAGCAAAACTTTCAAAATATAAAAAGTTTTAATAATAATAGATTATTAAAGTTAATCCTAGTGAATCTATGGAATCATATAAATTTGATTTATAGGAATACTATTTTCAAAATTTAGAATAATTATATAATAGAATTTTTAATGATGAAAATAATTTAACTTTATAATTAGATAAATCATTATAACAATTATAAATCTTATATTATCAATAAAAAGCATAATAAGAAATAGAATAATTTGAAATTGTCAAGAATTTTACTTATTATATGACATAAAATAATATTGAAAATATAGTTTTATAATTAGAATAAAAATAACATTCATTATTAAAAAAACCTATAACTTAATTAATAAAATTCATGTACTTTCCTTATGAATTTATTATGAAATTTTAAAGGATTAAAACATAAAAATTAAAATTGCTTAATTAAAAAAGAAAAAGATCATTAAAAAATATGAATTAAAAATAATCAAAAATTAATGATTTGGTTAGAAAATGGGAAACTCCAAGAAAATCTTATAAACTTAGTGTTATAATTCCTATTGAAAATGAAGGCAATGAATAATGATTATCAATTATATCTAATTATTTTATCATAAATATAATAAAGATTATAAAAAAATATAAAACTATTAAATTTTATTACAATATATTTATGCTTAATATTAAAATAATGATATTAAATGCATATTTATATCAGATTAATCCACCTTAGTTTAACTTTTATCTTATAACATTACTGAACTCAGCAGAATTTACAAATTCCTTTGCATTTCTAGTTGTTTGTAATTATATTTAGTATTGGCTCTTTAATTCATTATAAATTTATGTTTCCTATGCTTAAGCATCTTTATCTTATTCTAAAATAAAATTATTTCAATATTATTTACATAAAGAATCTTTATAACTTTAGAGATCATTTTCATTCTCAGCTAATGCTTCTCTTGTTGATTTTAATTTACCTAAAATTTAATAATATCTTACTTTAATAAGTAGCTAATACATATGTAGCTTCTAATACTGATCTTTTAAATTCTTGATATTCTGTATTTAAAGTTTTTTATCTTTCAACCCAAGTCTATTCAATCTAATTTTCATCTGCTGTTTCTTAATTTAAACTAGCTACCAATTAATTTCTTGTATCTGACAATAAATCTCTGATTTTCTTAGCTTAATCTTGATCTGAAAAATTTTAAGTTAATGACATGAGTGCCTTTACTATTGGATGAACTGTATTTGTCTTTTATGTTTTAGTATTTATTCTTTATATTGCTTAATTTATTGTTCCTTTTTCAGCAAATGAAATATTTCCATTAATTAGAGCATTAATCAATTAAATTGCTTCATCTACTGCACTTATTGCACTTTGATGTTCACTTACTTTTAAATTATATATTATATTGTTACCTCTATCTAAAAATTATTGATGTTATTTTTATCTATTTAATGTTTCTTTTGATAAATTATCTCTATTATCATTTATATATCCATTCAATCTATCAATCTTTGAATTTGTTTAATCAATGCTTGGTAAAAGAATAGCATCAATAAAGTCTTTTTAATTAAAGATATTAATTTCTGTTTATCCTATTTGAATATCTAAATTCTCTTGAGTAGCAGCATGTTAATTAGTTGATCTTGTATAATCTTCATCTAATTATTGTAATTCTGCAGTTAATTCATTTTCTAAATCACCAATGGCTGCCACTAAATCATCTAAGTTTCTAATACAATTAATAAATATTACCTAATGGTCCTCTCATTTCTGCATGAGTTTATGCCATTTATAAGATCATTTTTCCCAAATTGCTTTAATTTAATTCATCTAACTTTGCTGTACCTAATTAAACCATGCTTGGATCTATAGCATTAATATAAATGAGTGCCATAATTAAAAGACTAAGCTTTTTCATTATTATATTTTTATTAATCCGTTTTCATAATTGATAACTAAGTATTTTATAAATATTCTTATTTATGAACTATAATTTGATATCAATAAAATCTAATGTTATATTTTTAATAAAAAACTAATATAAAACTATCTTTAGTTCAAATCATATAAAATTCTATAAAATCTAGATATATTTAATATATATATATGAATCAATAACAAATAGAATCTTTAATTAAAGAATTAATTATTTATATAAATATACATTTCAAAATTACATAATTAATTAAATTTTGTTTGAAATAACATTGATATATAAATCTATAAATTTATATATTATAAATTCAATATAAAATTCAACAGAATAGGTTAATTTTTTACAAGACTTTTGAAGCATTTTGTTTAAATTAAATTTATTATAATTTTAATTAATGCAATAACTTCCATCATTAATACGATATGAAGAAATATATGATTTAGATGTCTAGAAATTGGAAGAGATATAAATAAGTATTAGATCCTAAACCACAGATGATGTTTAATGGAATAAAAAAGCTAAAAAAATACTAGATTTAATAGAAGTAGAACTTAAAGAAAGATTAGCAATTCAAAACTTCGCATCAAATATTTAATATCAAGATTTTATATAATAACCAATCTATTAGAACAATGCTCTTTAAACTATTTTAAACGATATTAAATAGAGACCTGCAAATTATTTGGATTAATAGTTTTCTAAACCACCACTTCCCAGATATGAATAACCAAAATAAGAACAGCAACCATAATAATCTAATTAGTTATATTAACAGAGCTATTAGAAAGTTTCATAATAGAAATCTTGCTAATCTGATGCTATGTCTTTAAGTACTGTTACTAGAAGCAGTAATGCCAATACTCGATTATAAGCTAAGAAACCCAATTAAATGTTAGAAATGATGAAGGAAGTATTGAAAAAGACAGAGGTTACAAATTAATAATTTATTATTGGTGCTGCTATCAATCATAGATATGTACCACCACCTCCTAAGCCTTAGTTATCAACTGTTGAAAAAATTAAACAAGAAAAATTATTAAGGAAAAAGAAAAAGAAAAAAACTAAATTTGAAAATAATAAATATACTTAAGATCATTTACATTTACCTGATATTAATTAGTAAAAGACCATCCCTAAATAATCAACATAATAGAAGATGGAGGCTTCAAATTTATATTCATAAACCCCAAATATATTTAAAAATTAAATAGATAATAAAATTTCAAATTAGAATGACCAAGTAGACAAAGCAAATCAATAAATTATTGAAAATAATCAAAAATAATAATTAAATAATAATTCTTAAGTGTCCTTAAAATAAATTTCAATTAATAACTAATAAATTGATTCACAAGATAAAAGTAACTTAATTGAAGACCATAATAAAATGGGGAAATAATCAAATAAATCTGATATTATTATTGAATAATTTTAGGTAAATCAAAATACAAAATTAGATATTGATTTGAAAGAATCTAAAGAATTATTGAATGAATCTGATGCTATGCATAAAATAGATAATGTTATTAATGGTTAATCATAAAAAATACTCTAAATTTCTAAGAATTAATCTTAGGAAAGAATAAAGGATTAATAAAACAAATAATCATCATAACCTATTTAGATTTAATTGGCTAATACAACATAGCCTTGTATTTAAACTAATTTTTCAGAATCAAGCAAAAATAATTAAGCATAAACTAAAGAAATAACTACATATAAAAGACCCAGTATTTAATTACAATAAACTTAGAAGAGTTAAGAAAACTTAGATGCTTTTATTAATATCCAAAAATAAACACCAAATTAAATTTAATCCTAAAATAAATTAGAATAGGAAAAAAATACCTAACAATTAGAAAAGAAATTCGATAAAAATTCAGAGGTTGAAATTAAGAATAATGAAGATTCTTAGGATTATTATAATGAAGATAGTTTTTAATCAGATGATGAAATAAAGTAAATAGATGAAGACAAAATAATTTTAAATAAAAATTCAAATAATAATTAATAAGTTATCATCTCTGAACCTTAAGAAAAGATGACTAACCCTTAATAATAATAAATTTAAAAAAAACCTATAAAACAAGTTGATTCAATTTAATAAAAAGATAAAAAATTAAATAAAAAAATACAAAATCCTCAAAAATAATAAATTTAAAATATGCCTACGAATCAACTTAATCATTAGGTTGTAGAGTAGATAAAGGAAGATGAAGGTAATAATATTAATGTTATTTAGAAATAATTGAGGACTTTATTGAAGTAGAAAGTGATAATGAGGTTGTTGTGCCAATTAAACATAAACCTCTTAAAGAATTGGTTGGAAAAGTTATAGGGAGAGTTGATTAACCTAAACATAAAGGTGTGATTGAAATTAAGTAAAAGCCAGTATAAACTGATTAAGAAAAATTAGAGGAAATAAATAATATTTGTAAATAGATGGGTTTAGATGATTTCAAAGATAAATAGTAATAATAATAATAATAATAATAATAATAGCCTATATAGTAATAATATTAATAGCCTATTTAGTAATAATAATAGCTTAATTAGTAATAATAATTATAATAAAAAACTGTTTTAAAATAATAATAAGATAATAAAACTAAAAATATTTAATCAAAATAAATTTAAAGAATGCTTAAATTTATTGATGATAAAAAATTAGAAGATTATTCAGATTTAGTTCCTACATTTTAAAATTTATTTAGTGGGTTCTTTAATAATTAATCTCATTATAATCATTTAGAGGTTATGAAAGAGATTCACGGTGTGTTTAGTCAACATATTGAAAAAGTTGACAATGTTGATTCCCTCTTAGGCAAGTACAAGTCTAGTTCCTTAGTAATAAATCCAAATGAATTAGTTTATATTAATGATCCGTAACGATTGATTTAATATTCAACTACAACTGGGGTTGACATATAATAGTATATTTAAAGACAAATGGTTTTTAATAAGCGACTTTAAAATGATGGTACACAATCAGGAAAAGATGAAAGATATTTTAGAGTAGTGAAGACAAAAGAAGAGGTATATGGTATACAAATTTGATAATATAGATATAATTACTAGATCTTTTATGAGAAAACAAGGATGGAGTGAATTACCGCATGGCATAGGTCTCCGAACGTCTTGGAATATATTGTGGACCTGGTCCAAACCATAGATAGACTTGAATAAATTATTCTATTTTTAGAAAGTAAACCATTTTCCATTCAATAAAAATCTTGGAAGGAAAGATCTATTAAAAAAGAATATAGAAAGATATTAAAAATAAGGAGGAAAGGCATATTAAATTTTTGATATTATACCTGCTACTTATCTATTGCCTAAAGAATATGTTTAGTTTATGGAGAAGTTTTATAAAGATTCTGAAACAGAGGGATAATAAAATATATGGATTATGAAACCAACTGGAAAATCAAGAGGAAGAGGAATAACAGTTTTAAATGATATATCTGAAGTAATGTATGCTGAACCTGTAGTATTATAAAAATATTTGAAAAACCCTCTTTTATTAAATGGACGTAAATTTGATATGAGAATTTATGTATTAGTTACGTCATTTAACCCATTAGAAGTATTTTTATATAAGGAAGGGTTTGCTCGTTTAACAACTTAATAATATAATTTAGAAATTAACGATCTTAAAAATTAATTAATCCATCTTACTAATTTTGCAGTTTAAAAGACACATGTTTAAATTTAAGATTTAGAATAATAATTGGGAGGTTGTAAGATTTCACTCAAGTAATTGAGAGAGAAATTAGAAACAAAAAATATTAATTGGAATCAAATTTGGGAATAGGTTTAAGATATTATATTAAAATCATTAGTAGCTTGTTAAATAGAAATACCAAATAATCCTAATAGTTTTGAATTGTTTGGTTATGATATAATTATAGATACTAATCTAAAATGTTGGCTTTTGGAAGTAAATGCTTCACCATCATTAGAGAGAGATTATTTATTAGATGAATTAATTAAATAATAATTGATTGATGATATTTTTGACTTACTTGATTCTCCAAAATATGATAGATAAAGATTATGTGAAGTCTTAGAAAGACGAATATAAGAAGAACAAAGTAATAAACCACAAAATAATAATAAATTATAATTACAAAGAGATCTTAATTATATTTTAAATGGTTAACATATTAGAAGATATGGAGAAATGCCAAATCAAATGGGTGGCTTCATGAGATTGGCTCCATCAGAAAAGTATGAAAAACTTTAATCTGTTGTACATAATCATAAAATGATTAATGGTAGAGGGACTATTGATTGATTACATTTAAGATATCAGAATTTGTACAAATTACTATTTGATTATATAATTTAAAATCACAATTTTATTATTTATCAACTAATATTTTAAAAAAAAGAGATTTTCTTTTTATATACAATTCTTTTCTTTGGTGAAATCCTAAAATTAAAAAAGTATAGAGTACACAAATTTTCAAAAAGAATCAATTGCTTACTTAATTGTATAAAATTAATATGAAAATTTATTTAATTATTGAAATTAGTAAAATCATAAGACTAGTATATATATATTTACAATTTAATAATGGTTCTAAAGAATGATTCTGAACAGATTAAGATTATAAATTATTTATTTTAAATTATATGATTACATCTCCAAATAAACAATTTATCGAAAATAAAAGAAAAAAATCTGATATGGTTTCATTAATTAATGGATTATCAAAAGAGTAACTGATGCCAATCTGTATAGAGATTCTATAGAAAAATCCTGAATAAAGAAAATTAGAAGATATCTAAGTGAATTTTTTTTGATTAATAGATTATTTAAGCTGCCACTAAAGACATCGAATTCTTTTAATAAGTTTATAATGAATAGGGGGAATAGATGCTTAAAGAGTGTTTAAAGAGAATGACTATAGAAATGTTTGAGGAAGTAAGTATGTAACTATTTTTAGGATGACGTTGTTTTCGAGTAAGGTGATAAACCATAATCTTTTTATATAATATTAAGTGGAAGTGTATCAGTATATATAAACAAGACCCCAATAATAGAACATAAAGAATTAGAATTAAATAAGGCAGAGAGGATAAAGAAGAGGTAAATTCAGTGTTTTTATAAGAGAGATCATTTTTTACCAAAAAAATTTCCATGGGGTAAAGTTTTGGAGAACTTGCTTTTTTGAATGATAGTGTTAGATCAGCCAGTATTATTTGTGATAGTGAATGTATCCTAGCTGTTTTAAGTAAAAAGGATTATAAAGATGTCCTTTAAAAGGCTTAAGAAAATAAGTTAAGATAATAAATAAAAGACTTTCATTCTTGTTTAAAATAACATTAGATTTCCCCTAAATTATTAGATATCTTATTTTTAGCATTTTAGAGTTCACATTATTAATTTAGATAAGCAGTCTATTATTAAGGATAATTGAGCAAATAAGAAATTTATTTAGTATAGAGTGGAGAATTTGTAATTTGTCAAAGTAATGATGGATTTTACAGTCCTAAAAAATAGACATCTTAAATAGCTTTATTATAAAAAGGTTAAATATTTGGGGATCATGAAAGTTTCAATAATATTGATAAAAGATAATAAAGTGTTTTTTGCAACTCTGAAAATGGAATAGCTCTTAAGATTTAATTAAGTTGTTTGATTTAGAGATTGTAAACAACAAATGAAATGCATTTATATGAATAATTGAAAAATATTTGTTTATAAAGAGAATAAGTTAGATTAGATAGACAATAAAAATAAGTATCCTAAGATGAGAACTTATTGATAGATATGAAATATGTAAAAAAGAGAGATCTTACATATTAAGTAAAAAGAGTCAGATCAGCAAGAAGAAATACCTTTAATATTCGAAGCCCTCTTTAAATTGTGGAAGATGTTATAAGGAATAAAAAACTTGTTTATTAAAAATTATACAAAGAAGATGATTATAGATCTAATCTTTAATCAAGAATGGCAAGCACACCAAGACCAAATATTTCTTAATTGAGAAGATAAACTTGGGAATAATTTTTAACCAATGATTAAAAGTATTTCAATTGATACGTATTCCATTTTTCCATTCTCCAAATGAAGTTTTGCCATTTGGTAATTTTAATATGGCTCTACCATGTTGTTTATCTTATTACCATTCTCCTTCGTATACTCTTCCATCTGGAAATCTCAATATTCCTTAACCATGTTTTTAATCAAAAACAAAATCTCCCTCATATGTTTTTCCATCAGGCCATAAATACTTACCTTTACCATTTCTAATTATTTATAATTTAAATTACTTTTTGTTATTTTACCAATAACCTATATATTATTTACCATCCGGCCATATGTATTTCCCATAACCATCTATATTATTACTTCTAAATTCTCCATCATAGATTGCTCCATCTGCCCATATAAATTTTCCTAATCCTTCTTTTTTGCCTTATTTATAGGTTCCTTCAAAATAACTAAACTTTAAAATGAACCTAACCTTCCATCTGGCCATTTCTCACTTCCCTTTCCTTATTATAAATCATGTTCCCATTATCCTACATAAGTAGCTCCATCTTCATGAATATATGTTCCTTAACCATGTGCTTCATCATTTTCCCATTATCCTTCATAAATTTCTCCATTTGAATGTATTAATCTTCCTCTACCATGAGCATTTCCTTAATAAAAATAACCTTCATATTTTGAACCATCCTATTATAATTAAATGGTATTACATCACAAATCAAAATTCCCTTACCATGTCTTAAATCATTAATCCATTCTCCAAAATATGTGGCTCCATTTTCTAATTTCATTGGTGCTTTGAGTACTTTTTAATGAACTAAAGAATCATTAATATCATCAATTCCAAAATCAAATGGAGGTAACTATCTAGATCCAACATTAATCACACTGGTGGAATATCTACTATTAAAAGTGAGACTACGTTTTTAACTATTCATTGACACTGTCATTGTATTTCTGCAATTGAATCTTCCAAACACGCTAACGAGCTTACCATCCACGAATCCAAGACTGCATTTTAACTATTTTATGTTCTTATGATTTCAAGAACTCTAAGCTCTACCATTTTGGTTTAGATTTTCTATCTTGTTCTATTTGATTTTGTAAGTCATATTTCCAACATGTACAGTTATTGCCCATTAATTTTAATGTTAGAACATTAATCTATAGCCCCTTATTAGTCTAAAAATTTTTCATGTCAAAAAGCTTATATTCTCTAAACAAAATTGCATTGTTAACAATATCACATTGCTGTATAGTTTTATTAGCATTTTTTTTTGACTTAAATTATAGTATTTTAGTATTTGTTGTCTAATTGAATCAATTATGGCAAGTCGAATATTTAAAATTTAGTTAACTTTAATTGTTGTTGATTATTTAGTCTGCAATGAAATAAGAAATATTATCAAAGTTTTTCATTTCCATCTTTAGAGCAAATAGGAGTTAAAATTTATATCTTCAAAATTATGGTAATAGTTACTATATTAGTATTTGAAAATGGATTTGATGATGTTTTAATTACATTATTAGTCTATCATATCCTAGATGTATTGATTAGTATATTGGAACAACCTATGAATTAGGAATTGTAAAAAATTAGATTTTCAATTTATTTTTAGTTCTTAGAAGTATTGATATATATATTTGATAATGAATACATTCAAATCTCATATTAAAATAGAATCTGAGCTTTAATTAAAAAAATTAGATTTCAAAGAAATCTCTCAGTAATAGTATCATTTTACTAACATTTTTGTTAAATTTCCTATCATCTTCATTAACTTTCTTACATTTTCTACTGGTATTTTCGATGATTTATTGGGAAAGATATAAATAATAGAAAAGCAGAGGAGATATAATCTATGAGAGAATACAGAATGTTAATTTACTTAGAATTTTATGATATTTCAAATAAATTTAGATTAAAACAACAAAAATAATCTATATCAAATAGATACACCATTAAGAATTATATCTGAAACAAAATTAATTACTAAAAAAATTAAAATTCTTAAGATCAACTTTGTAACAAGTATTGAAAGCTTAAGGATGCTAGCTATAAAATTTAATATTGCTTAATTACAAATAATTAGAATTGGAAAAACAAAAATAACAAAGATTATCAAATAAATATATTGATTAGATATATAAAAGATTTAATTTTATAAAATTTAAGCAATAAGAAACTTAAATCATCATTTAATTTATCTATGAACTAATTTCTGTTTATTTATTTTAATTTAAAAAAGTATTTTTTTAATTCTATCCTCCTATTAAGCATTCTTAAAGTTTAAAGTTAAATTATAATTAACCAATAAATAATATAACTATTTCTGCAATTACTAATTATCTGATTAATTTTTCAACTAGTTAACAATAAATTATACTCTGTTATAAATCCATATTGAATTATTGTTAGAAGATGTATTAATATATTTTTGTTCCTTTGCGCATTTTATAAGATATTTCTATTACTCTTACATATTTTCTATTGAATTGTTTATAAAGCTATTTTTAAAGCAACATAAGATAAATATTTAGATATTGAATCACCTTTAAGTTTTCTTGAAAAGAATTCAGAATTTATTATTACGATTATATTATTGTCTGAGAAACTCAATGGCTAAAGCTAAAATTATAAAATAAATTATTTTAAAATATTTTAATTAATTCTACCTCTTTAATATTTTAAGTAAATAATTAATAATTTAAAGACTCATAAATAATCATTATTAATAAAACTATTACATCATTTTTGTTACTTGAATCTCATTATCAATTTATGCATGTCTTCTATTAACTTTTCTTGATTATTTAGATGATTAAAGTTACTGGAAATCTATCATTTTTGATGCTCTAAAGATTGATTTGAGTTCTGCACCCAATTTTTCAATTAATTATTTATTAATATCATGCTCTTATCTTGGACTTTCACCTTCATATTATTTCAATATATCATCATATGCATTATAAATACGTTAGTAAATAAGATTCTCATTATCCTAACTGGCTCTCTTTTTATGTTAAAGAACAGTAGTAAGAGAATTTTGAGGTTCACTAAATAAAGTAGTGTGTCTGATTCTGGCTTTTTCTTCTAAAAAATTACGATTGAATTTTAATTCAGTTTTATCTGGAGCAATCATTTATTTAGGTGTAAAATTAAATACTAATAATTATTAAGGNTATCAAATAGATACACCATTAAGAATTATATCTGAAACAAAATTAATTACTAAAAAAATTAAAATTCTTAAGATCAACTTTGTAACAAGTATTGAAAGCTTAAGGATGCTAGCTATAAAATTTAATATTGCTTAATTACAAATAATTAGAATTGGAAAAACAAAAATAACAAAGATTATCAAATAAATATATTGATTAGATATATAAAAGATTTAATTTTATAAAATTTAAGCAATAAGAAACTTAAATCATCATTTAATTTATCTATGAACTAATTTCTGTTTATTTATTTTAATTTAAAAAAGTATTTTTTTAATTCTATCCTCCTATTAAGCATTCTTAAAGTTTAAAGTTAAATTATAATTAACCAATAAATAATATAACTATTTCTGCAATTACTAATTATCTGATTAATTTTTCAACTAGTTAACAATAAATTATACTCTGTTATAAATCCATATTGAATTATTGTTAGAAGATGTATTAATATATTTTTGTTCCTTTGCGCATTTTATAAGATATTTCTATTACTCTTACATATTTTCTATTGAATTGTTTATAAAGCTATTTTTAAAGCAACATAAGATAAATATTTAGATATTGAATCACCTTTAAGTTTTCTTGAAAAGAATTCAGAATTTATTATTACGATTATATTATTGTCTGAGAAACTCAATGGCTAAAGCTAAAATTATAAAATAAATTATTTTAAAATATTTTAATTAATTCTACCTCTTTAATATTTTAAGTAAATAATTAATAATTTAAAGACTCATAAATAATCATTATTAATAAAACTATTACATCATTTTTGTTACTTGAATCTCATTATCAATTTATGCATGTCTTCTATTAACTTTTCTTGATTATTTAGATGATTAAAGTTACTGGAAATCTATCATTTTTGATGCTCTAAAGATTGATTTGAGTTCTGCACCCAATTTTTCAATTAATTATTTATTAATATCATGCTCTTATCTTGGACTTTCACCTTCATATTATTTCAATATATCATCATATGCATTATAAATACGTTAGTAAATAAGATTCTCATTATCCTAACTGGCTCTCTTTTTATGTTAAAGAACAGTAGTAAGAGAATTTTGAGGTTCACTAAATAAAGTAGTGTGTCTGATTCTGGCTTTTTCTTCTAAAAAATTACGATTGAATTTTAATTCAGTTTTATCTGGAGCAATCATTTATTTAGGTGTAAAATTAAATACTAATAATTATTAAGGACTCAGTAATATATTTTTAAGTTTATTTAATTCTTCTAATTTTTATAGAATATAATAGACATCTAAATGATTTGAAATTTCTTTCATTGATTTTCTATATAATTTTACATTTATATTTGAATTAAATAATTTAGAACAACATAAATGATTCAAGAAAATTCTTATAGTTAAATTTAATGGTTGAGATCTATTGATTATTTTATTAATTTATTTTTAGAAATAATCTAAACCACTTTAACAATTAAATTTCTTAGCTAAATGAATATGATGATCAATTAAATTTGATGAAATGATACATTCTTCTTCAGTTATAATTTATTTTTTATTATTAGTTTCATTACTATATATAGGTATATGTTAAGATGAGAAGGGGAGAAGAGAAAATGAATTTTATTTTGATTTGATAGAGTTGCTTTTCTACATAATTCTACTGACTGGTAATTTCTATTAACTACCTTCTTCATTAATATTTTAGATATTAGTCTTTGACATTTTAGATTGAATAGCAGAATTCAATGCTTCAAATTGTTTTTCTTAATATTCTCTCTCTTTAACAGAATCAAATGAAAATTCATAGATCTTATTAGCTAATATGAGATATACTAATTAATGATGATAAAAGTATACATTACAATCGATTATAGATTTAAATTACAAATCCTAAAATAAAGAATGAAATCTTTAAAAATCCACCTAATCGAGCAAGTAGATCAGTAACTTTTTAGTAAGATCTATTAACAGTGTATTTAAGTTTATTCTTTTTGAATATAAATGAAGCATAAACATCATTGTTTATATTAACAATTTATTTAGAATCTCTTGAGTCTACTGCATAAGCTTTGCTTTTTTAAACATCCTAATAAATAATACTATCATCATTATTTAAATCATATTATGTAATTAGAAGTTCTTGTTCTTTTGATAATGTATTTGGTACAAATTTAATTGAATAAGTATCATCTAAATAAGTTTAAATGTATTATTCTGATACATCCATAGGATTTACAACCTAAGAATAAATGTATTCTTACTTAATTTTGGAATACTAATTAAACATTAAAAACTTAACCATCTAAATTTACATCAGGAATGCAAGCCGATTAATCATTTTAACATTTTGATATGATTAAATGAACTTCATATTTTTCTTAAATTAAATAAATAAATTTTACTAGACTGATTTTATCCGAAGTATAATTGTTAATTTTATCTAATTTTATTACTTAAATAAGTACTCCAAACATAAAAAGTCTTCTTTCAAGTAATTTTAAAGAGAATTCCCATTAGCTAGTTGAAAATGCTCAGGTAAACATTTTCCAATAGGAATTATAGTTTTATTCGTAACGATTTAATTTTCTATTGTTCTAAAGTATATATTTAAGACTATCATACATTTATTATAAAGTAATATTAAAGTACTTTGCTTGAGTAAGATTACCAAAGCCGACAGCAAATGTTCTTTAACCAGAAAGGGATATAATTTCAGGAGTTTCTTCGAAATTATTCACAACAATAGCTGACAATTCACCTTTGTTAATAAAGCTGAGTATGTTTGATGAGAAAAAGAGAAATACTACTGTTATAGTAGCAATAGAAGCAATTCCACCTACTTCAGTCTGATGTTTAGAATGTCCATTAAATTTAAGGGAGACTGGTTGGCCAAACATATCTATCTTACGTAAGACTAATATTTAGTTATGAGTATAACATTACATTTCCAAATCATATTGTACAAAAACCTTTTAATTTATTAAAATTAACATGATTATGTTGATGATGATTTATGTGATATTCACTAAAGACATAAGTAATCCTATATTATTATTGTATGAGTAAGGGATATAAACTTAAATGAAATTATTTAAGACAACATACAACAATTTGATTATAGAATATATAGATTGAATATTAAGAATAGTGATGATTTAAAGTATTAATAACTAGTCCTATCATTATTTTCATAACAACAAAACAATCTATAAATTTATATTGATTGTGATAAGTAAATACTTATACATCATACTTAGGTAACCAAAATTCTTAGATTCTTATTAATGGTAAACCACATTCTAATAATAATAGCTAAAAATATAATATCAACAAAGAAATTTAAGAAATTGTTCAGATGTTTTATTTTTTATAGCAGTTCTTTCAGAATAAACTTCTAATTATGAATTATTAACTTATGTTTTAGATGGAATACATTTTGTAGAATACAATCTTCCTTTGATGTAATTATATTTTTATTATATAAAGTGGAGAATTGCATCCTTAAGAGATATATTAATTCAAAGTGTAACCAATCTATTTTAATGAATAGATTACTATAGAAATTAACATAGAATAAGCATAAAGTTATTTAAAAAAGTGTTTTAAAGATGATTGCTTAATTACAAAATATGATTATAATAATACCTTTAATGGAGAATTAATTGACAAGAATACATATACATTCATTAATTCAGATTGTTATAATTGTTACTATTTACTTGGTTTATTAAGTGAATATAAATAATTCTTTAGAATACTAGTAATTAATGATCAACTTCAAATCAAATTAAAAGAAGGTCTTTATGATTAATTTCAAGTTGAACAAGGATCATCACTTTATTATATCTATAACAAATCTGATCTTACTAATATTAAATAGATCAAATTTCAATTAAATTAAATAACTGGTGATTGTATACTTTATGGAAGTTCACAAAATATACAACCTAGTTAATCAAATTATGATTCTAAAGATGATTATCAAATAATAATTAATAAGACTAGATAATACTATTTAAGTGTATATGGAAGGTCTTCTTGTAAATATAGAATTTATACTATAGTGGAAAGAGAATAGACTATTAATTAAACTTAATTCAAGTAATTAGAAAATGGAATTTCTGTATTACACAAACAACGCCAACTATATAGTTTCTTTATAATTTAATTAGAAATCTTACTCGACTTTTCTATTAAATTATAGAGTAATCCAGGTAATTTTATGATGTATGTTAAATCAAATATATCTGATAATAATGAGATACCTGATAGTAATTCATATTAATGGAAAGATACTAAATGTATTAACATCAACATTGATAAAGATAATTAAGCAATTATTTATTATATAAGTGTTTAACTTTTGAATACTGAAGGTGAATTCATAATTGAATATAAATTACATGATAAAATTAAGGTTTATGAAATAGGTGATAAGATAATAGATTCTGTAGGTGAAAATTAAATTAAATATTACAAATTTCCTATGTTAGAGAGAGACTTACTGTTTATAAAAGAAATATTTACAGAAAATTAAATAACTAATTTGATTATCTATATATCTTTAAATCAAACAAATATATTTCCAAAAGAATAATCAAACAATTATATCTTTTTAAATTCAAACTTAACTATACCATAATAAGAATTAATATGTCATCATCAATGTTAAAATTTGAAAAAAAATTAATGTTTTATATATTTATCTGTAACTTCATTAAGTGGAATCATATTTTATACTATTACTACTCAACAATTAAATAATAAGATCTTATTACATGAAGGATGTCCTTTGACTCTAAGTTTTCAATAAGATATTTTGTTTTATTACTTCTTAAACGAAAAAGAAGTGACAATTTAATGGTATTCCTAAGGTGGCAGTTAAGCTAAATTACTAGCTTATTTAGGTTACTTAAATGACTCCAAATTTTCTTATGAATAATTTTAGCCTTAAAATTCAAATCCTAGCTATCCTATTTAAACAATCATTATTCCTTAAAATAATTAAGAATATATATTGTATATATAAGTACAACCATTCCTTTAACATTTTGAAAATGATATGTATTCAATTGGAGTATATGAAACAGTTAAGATTTTAAATTAATTAGAGAAAATACAAGATCATGTAGAGAAGGGATAAATAAAATATTATATGTTAATAATAAATGAAAATATAAAATCAATAATTTTTAATATTCAAATTTTAGGTGATTAAGAATAAATATTGATATTTCTATAATAAGGTGTGAATAGTAGACCAAATAATTTAATTTAATCTATCTAATTATCATTATAAATTGATACATTCTATATATTTAGATAAACTTAAAAGAGATTCTTTCAGTAAGATTAATATATATTAGGAATATAAGGGGAATTTGATTGTGAATTTCAATTGAGTTATTAATTACAAAATATATTTTATTTATTCTATCCTAATGGATATTTACCTCAAGAAATAATGGAAGAAAGGATACCTACTATATTTCTATATCAACAAAAATCACCATTTAAAATTATTTTAGCAGTATTTATTGGCACAATATCAATCAGAGCTAAATGTTTTCATAATCAAGTAACTTCACTTGATTTTACAGATTCATTTATTTTAGATGATATAGCTTAAGAATTTAAATTATTTTAATTTGATGCTTGTTAATATGAATAATGTTAGTATCTAATTCAAATTATTAAAATTGAATATGAAACTTAAGCTGTTATTTAAATTTAAACAAATTAAAAAACAATAGAATTATTTGAGAATACTCCTTAATATGAAGTATTAAAATAATATGAATAAATAGAATACATATTTCAAACTTAATATCATTTTTTAATTAAACTTAATAATGTCTATGGGTAAATTTAAGTTTGTGTGAAAGACCAACATAATAATAATACATAATATTACTAAGTTGATAATAATATGAAAATTATTGAATATATTATGACAAAATTGACACATGCATCATTTATAATATCAATTGAATGTCTAACACCATATGCAAATTTTTAGATTTTAATTAACAGAAAGAATTAAAAAATATCTAATCTTAATTTAGGTTAGATATTAAATAAATAATTGGTTAATTTAGAATAAAATCTATTTTGTTATTAATCTTTTACATCTGTATTTAATTATAATAATACATCCAAATTACTAACCTTATAAATTTAAACTATCTATACATCTATTGAATTCTTTGACATTTAACTTAATCATTCAAATGCAAATCCAATTATTCTAATTCAAAAATAATATAAGAAAGGTATCTTTTATAAGTTATATGATGTATATGGTAAATATAATCTAATAATTACTCCAAAAATTACATAATCATATATCAGTATTCTTTTATCAGATGAGAATATTCATACATTAATGGATAGTATTCCATAATATTAATTAACTAAAGTAGGTTAGCCTAATTTCTATTAAATCTTACTTCCTTAAAAATCTACTTTATTTATTGAAATATTAACCTGTAGAGGCACTGTTTTAATTTAAGGAACATCAAATCCTTCTAATTTGAACAAATAGATTTTTGAAATACAAATAATGAATAAACCAGAATAATATTTTAATGCAATCCTGTAATTAGAAGAAGGAATTTATTATTTCTTAGTTAAATTAATTTCAAGTTAAGTCAAAGATGAAAATCAAAATCGAATTTCCAATTATTATATTAGACAATAGACATTTAATAATGTTGAACCCATACCTTATTCAGCATTTAAATTTAGTAATGTTACTTTAAATTGGAATATTATATCAAATTAAGTAATTATAGAAATTCCAAACTTAATTTAAGATTATCAATTTTCAGTATAGCCATAAATTACAATCTATTACATAATTTAACAATTTTAATAAGATGAGTTTGTTTGTATTTATGAATCCTATTCTAATGATACAAACAATAATACATCATTGTTTAAAATTGAATAATCATCATCTTAAGACAATACAACTAAAATTTAACTTAATATTACAGATTCATCTAAAATTAATCTAAATATAATTGGTAAAGTAGAAATATTTTCAGGTGTTGAATTATATGAATTAACCTATCCATTTCCTATTACAGAACTAAATTTAGAAGGTAAACAAACTTAAGAAGAGGATAATTAGATATTATATTATCTAATTCTATTGTTAATCATACTTATTGTCTTATTTATTAGTAGATTGCTCTATAAATAAAGGAATATTTAAGTTTAAAGTTAAAATTCAAAGAATTTATAAATAGAAATGAATTATTAAACATTGTATCTAAAATGAAAATCAATATATAATAGAATAGTTATTGATTTATATCAACTTAACGAAAGTGAATTAAACTATTTTTAAATTATTATAATTATTATAATATATTGAATAAATATATTAGAATTGATCTTATACAATTATAATACCTATATTAGAATTGAAGTAATAATTCATAATACAAATTGATTGGAATATATTTAGTTATTTTTTGAATTTAAAAATCTATTTATTAAAATATTATTTATGAATAAAGTGGCCTTTGTTACAGTAGCTTCATTTTTAACTTAAAGAAAAATATAATTGTAAAGTGCAGGAGATTCTTAACATATCTATTATAAATTGAAGAGTAGAGAGGAACATTTAGCTGACGCACTATAGAATGAATACGACGTCATTATAGTAGGAGGGGGAGCTACTGGGGCAGGTGTATCTCTTGCTTGTGCTAATAGAGGATTGAAATCAATTGTTTTAGAGTCAAAAGATTATGCCAGTGGTGCATCAAGTAAATCGACAAAATTAGTACATGGAGGTGTAAGGTATATGCAACAAATATTTCAATTATCAGAAAAAAACAGAATGGAAAAATGGGAATTGGTGGCAGAATCATTAAGAGAGAGATCTAATTTTTTATCAATGTGTTCTTATTTAACATAGGATTTCCCAACTTTAATACCATGTACTAATTTATTTGATTTGGGATATTATTATTTTGGATCTTTGATATATCATTGTGTTTACTTATATTATTAAACAGGTGGACATACTTTTAAACCTCCAAGAATAGTTGGCAAAGAAGAAATTTAATAACATTTTAAATATGCTAAATGTAATTATGGTGTAATATATTATGATGGATAATTCAATGATGCTAGAATGGTTTAAGAATTACTTGTTACATCAAGTCTAAAAGGTATATTTATAAATTATTTGATAAGGATAAAATATGGCAAATTATGTTGAAGTTAAAGGATTATTAAAAAACGAATAAAATAAGATTGTAGGAGTTTAAGCATTCGATAAGATTGGATAAAAACAATTTTAAATCAAAGGAAAATGTGTTGTAAATGCAACTGGTGGTTGGGCAGATAATTTACGTTTGATGGATGATCCAACTGTTTCTAAAAGAATAGTCTCTGTAGCAGGTAGTCACTTAACTATGCCTTAAAAATATGGATCTCGTCATTGGGGATATTTGATACCAAAAACTAATGATGGTAGAGTTCTATATATGGTACCTTGGTAAGGAAATATGATAATGGGTACCACAGAAAGAAAATTAGAGAATCCCACTCATGATCCTACTGTAAGTCATGAAGAATATATGTGGTTATTGAAATCATTTTGTGATGAATTTGCTGTTGATGCAAGTGAAGCTGCTAGAGATGTAAAATCTAAATGGTGTGGAGTGAGACCTTTAGTATATTCAAGTAATGCTCTAAGTACAAAAGAGGTCTCAAGAACTCATGAAATAGAAGTATCAAAAAGTGGTCTAATATCAGTTATGGGTGGTAAATGGACTATTTTTAGATTGATGGGTGAATAAACAGTTGATAAGGTTTAGGAATTAATTGGAAATAAGTAAAAAAGGATAGAGAATCTTCCTAAATTAGTTGGGGATTGGACATAATTTGATCATAGAAAGGAAATTTAAATAATGATGAAAATGTTTGACTTACCTTAATCTTATGCAGCATATTTCTTAACTACTTATGGAGATCGTGCATATGATGTATTAAAACTAATTTATGAAAACCCAGAAAATAAGGAAAGTTTACATCCACAATTCCCACATACTGTTGGAGAAATTTTATATCAGATTAGATATGAATAAGCTAGAAAACCAGAAGATATTTTGTTTAGGAGAACAAGATTAGGCTTTTTAGATTAGAATGCCATATTTACAGTGTATGAAAAGGTATTTTAAATTATGGCTAAAGAATTAAAATGGTCTGATAAATTTTAATAGTAATTTTTAAAAGAGAATTTTGAGTATATCAGAAAATTAGAGTTTTGATTGGTTATGTTTGTTATCTTTTTAATCATAAAATAATTTAACTAAATCTGATACTATTTATGGATATTTTTCTAATAATTTTATCTTTTGCTTAATAAATTTCTTATAACTGAATTTTATTTATATGCATTTTCATTAAATTAGTGATTCGTAATGAAATTGAGAATCTACTACTTTTTTAAGATATCTTTTGGGTATTTGATTTAATAATTCATTAATTATATAAGCAAAAAAGAACAATCATTCATTAATTATACAATTACTCTAATTATTCAACCTATATGGCATCACTTGTTTATTTAGGTAATTCAAATTTGAACAAAGTAATTGTCTTCTCTGTAGGGAAACCCTTATTATTAATTAAAAGATTTCTTATTTCTTCTGTATATGGTTTTGATTTCATCAATGTTACAGTTGTTAATTATTATAAAATTGAAATATTAAAAGGTGATCCTCCAGGTTTATGCACATGACATATATCATTATATATGTTTACACTATAAGTTATTCTTCCATTCTATACAGCTTCTTCTTCCAACTAAAAAAATTCTATAAAATATTATACACATGGGTCTTATAAGAGAATTGTTTATTCATTCAATTCTAAGATTGCATATGTGAGACTCAAAGGAATATGATGGATACTTAATGGTACCAATCTCTTTTCAATTTCTACTTTTACTCCCTAAAGGGAAACACTTACTTATGGTCTTCGAAAATGCTGTAATGAGAAAATACAACATAGATACATAGCATCTAATAGATTACCATCATTATTAATTAAGGCTACATTTACATCTATAGACCAAACATTTTTGCCAGATAAAATACATAAAGACTCAGTATCAAGAGCTCTTTATTTAATAAATTTTATACTTAGATCCTTTAATTACTTTTTCAATATATTTTTCAATTTCCATGCCCAATTTAATTGGATTATGCATATATCCTGTATCTCTTAATACTTATAAATCCAAATGAAATTTAAGGAAACCTTCTGATGGTCTTATTGGATTGGGTGTTGTAATTGAGGCACTAGTTGTTGCAAATACCTTAATTAAATTTAATTATTATTTGATACTCTTGTTTCACCTAGACTTAATTCAACTGCCCCAGTACTCTAAGGTCCAAAATGACATTAAATCATTCTTTATTATAAGGGATCTCGACCATCTATTCGTTTACCAAGAGCTAATTATTCTAAAACAAATTCAGAATTCATTTTAATAATAAATTTGATGAATGATATATACTTTGTAATTATCTTTTTTATGTTTTATAATATTTTACTCATCTTTTTTTATTTTGAGCTTTCTTTTTTCTTGAATTGCTTCTTGATCTAGATCTTCTCTTATAATGTTTTTAATCATATTTTTGATCATATTTTCCTTCAAATCTTTTTTTCTAATTCCTTTTATCTGATTCAGAACTAGAACTACTTCTTTTGTTAATACGATCTATAATATAATAGATGAATTCAAATTACTATGATGTCGTTATCTTTCTCTTTCACGTTCTTTTTCTCTCTCTCGTTCTTTCTCTCTTTCTCTTTCTTTTTCTTTTTCTTTTTCTCTTTCTTTTTCTCTTTCTCTTTCTCTTTCTTTCTCTCTTTCCCTTTCTTTTTCTTTTTCTCTCTCTCTCAATTCTTATTGTTATTTCAATAGTAATTGTTTTTCTCTCTCTTTTTTCAATTAATCAGCCTTAATTAATTGAGCTCTTTTAGATTTAGAGAATTCTTCGATCTTAAATGGATCATATAAACCACTTTGAAAAAGAATATCTCTATATTATTAGACTTCAATCTAAAATATAAGAAATAATAAGACTTCAATAGGATCTGTTGGGACTGGAGGTAAAGGTGGTTTAGGTTGTAGATAAGTCAATTCATAATTGGTAACAACTTGAACTTTCTTATCTTCTATTGTTCTGATATCTTCTTCAGTAAGATCTTTGCCATCTATGTTTAAATATAGATTTCTTTCAGCTCTTTAGATCTCTATATGTTTATTGAATTCATATATTCTTTCATCAATTGCATCTATTTCTTCTCCTTCTCTATTTATGATATTTTTATATCTAAAGGTAATATAATATAAACCTTTTCTATAATAGTTTAAGAAATTCTTGCATCATTTGTATCTATGTAGTAAATGATTATTTCTAGGATGAAATTATAGTTTATTGATCCTTTGATTAGATGATAATATAGATCATAAATACCTTATCAACAATGTAACGATAAACTTAAACAAATTTGGACACTTATTCAAGAGAAACGTCTGGATTGGCTCGGTTGTAGAACTTATGCTAAACTAAACGTTGGATTAATGTATCACGAGAACCCTAAGAGCATAGTCCCTTAATTCGGCAGATACGATCAAGTGTCTCATCATCAACATGAGCGAGTTTTTCCTTCAATAAAATAACCATCGACTTTATAAAGCTATGAGGAGATGCTCTCAATTTGGATTGACTGTTCTTTCATCAAAAAGGATAGCTCTAATCCCTTCAAGTACTTTTGGTCAAACAAATTCTACTCTCTCCAACATTACAACAATTTCAAAATCTTTTAATATATTATAAATATAATTACTTTCTCTTTATAAGGTAGTAATTGATCTAAATTACTAAAAATCTTAGGCAAACACCACTAGATGTAGCTCTTAAAATTCTGATTGCAGTTATTCAAAATATCTGAAATCAAATACAAACGAGCAAGCTTTTATATTATTATTAACTATTACTTTAATAGACCATATAGAATCATTTAAGAGTGAATCCTCTAAAATTAACATTAGATCTGCTGGACAATTCTAATGATCAATACAGAATACCATTGCCTTTCCTATTGTATGTCTAATTTATATATATATATATAATTACTTCTAAGTATTTAATTCCCTTAACATCTAACTAAATGTTAATCTATCTTAATCGTCTAATATTTAATATTGAGTTTTCTTATTTTTGGTTGTAACTATAATATATAATATTACTAAATTTACTTTAAGCTTTTTCCAATTCTTTTTTGGCAAATGAAGGAGCCTCTTCCAATTCAATTGAAGGTGGAATATAAATATATTCATTTAGATTGAAATAATATGGTTCCTATTTCCATTATTTTTCATCATCACCATTTTGAAATGAATATACTCTCCATTTATAATATTCATTCTCTTCTGATTACTAATATATTGTTTATATCTAATCATTTACCATATATAAAAATGCATATTTATTATTGTTTATTTCTCTTTATTTAATCATCTACTCAAATTATACACCTTCTTTAACTACTTATCTAGCCAATTTATCAATAATTCCTCTAATCTATGGATTTGGTAATTTTATTTTCACTATTTTAGATGTGCTTTGATAACATGGACCTCCATAACTTAAAATAAATAAAAATATTACTAAAGTTGAAAATGAAATCCATTTTCTACCTTCTTTTGTAATTCCATATAAGCAAATTATGCTTATGATGCATTTTCATATGTAATATTAGCTACTATTTATGCTTGAACATCCCTATAGTATGCTCGTAAAGAGATTTTCACTACGTTTCCATATTCTGCACATACTAGTCTTAAAGATTGTTCTGTTATTTTAGGAGTCAATCCACCTCAAATTAATTCATTTATCTTACAAATTGTAATATGAGGACTGATTTTATCAACAAATTGATAAGGAATTATGTTCTTGATGTTATTAAAATGTTCATTTAGATTTTGCTGCATTCCTGCCAATGGTTTCATAGGTTTCTATATTATAATAATTGGTCTTACTTAAGGTTGCAATTAGAGTGGCTTCAAAATACAATTTGTTTGCATTTAATAATAATATAAATTTCTTATTAATTATCATATGATAATAAATCCTTATTTGATGATTAATTAATCCTTGTTTCAACTTTACATATTCATAAAATCATAATAACATTAATTCTATTTAATAAAACTATAGATTATTGGTAGTCAATTAATAATTGATATAATTCAAAGAATTAAAAGTAATCTAATATACGTTAATAATAATATTGATTAATAGTATTCATCAACATAAAATAATAAAACATAGTTCAATAAATCATAATTTATTAAGAATAATCATAATAATACTACTTTGTTTATGAAAATGAAATTCACACAAAAAATAAATAAGATAATTATAATATATATAATATTAATAATGAACCTTGGTAGCTTAAATTAATTTCTAGACTTTGATTGCAAAACTTATGAAAAAAAAATTCAATAAGTTAGAAACAATTCTGTGCCTAATCCAATTGAGATTGCCAAAAAAAAGTAAATTAAGTCAAATCGAGCAATAGAATTATTAACTTTAAGAGCTAATATTCAAAGATATAATCAATAATTATAGGCTGTATTTCAATCAAGAAAGAAAAAACCTATTTAAAAATCATTGATTGTTGAAAAACCTTAAACAGTTAAAAGACATTAATTAGCATAAATTTAAATAAAATCTCCTAATTATTTAGGTTTGTTTGATAGAGGGAAAGTGTTTGATGATTCAATTCCAGTTTCAAGGTAATCATTAAAATATATTGTAATTAGTTTAAAGTAGAAACATCATTTACTAAAAACTGTTAATGATGTAAAATAAGAACAAAATAAAGATAAAATGAATTCTTTAATTGATTAAGCTTATATTAGAATGTAGGATGAATTCAATAATCATAGTCAAAGTATATAATAATTACAATTAGCAAGATCATAGGAAAGATAACAATATATTACAAAATATGAAACTTATAATAGAGTACAATATAATAATGAAGAAAGCAGAGTTGAAGTTGAGAATTAAGAAAATAGTGAAGATTCTTCTGCAGAAATTAAAGGTAATTTATTAAATTAAGAATTAGTATAAACGACTAGAAAATTAAAAAAAACTTAACTGAATGAAGCGAGAAAAAAATGTGATGCAAAAAAACTAATTTAATAATTTCCATAAAAGAGATGGAGTAAAATTAGAAATCTTAGTTATTCATCACCTAATGAATGCAAGACTTAAAATTAATAGTTAGAACTTAACAGTATTAAATTTATCGAATAGATAATTGAAACCGGTAAAAATAAAAAGAAATATACGGGTGACACTATTGATAAATTAGAAAGGATTGCCAATTAGTTATTAGATTGAGATATATTTTATTATATTAATAAATTAATTCATGGATTCAAATTATAATTACGATCAATATGCACAAAAAGCATATTCAGCTAATGTTTTCAAAGTTGATGAATCAGAATTTATTATTGAGAAGAGATACAAGCCTACATAATAATGTAAATTAATTATTATTATTTCAGTGGGAAGTGGAGCATATGGTATTGTTATTGGTTGTGAAGATACAAAAGCAACAATACCAGAATAAAAAATGGTAGCAATCAAAAAAATAGAGAGAACTTTTGAACATAGATTTTATGCTAAACGAACATTAAGAGAATTGAAAATCTTAAGAAATTTAAAACATGAAAATGTAAGTATCAAAACTAACATTTTAGATAGTTAATCTAATTACAATATAGCTTCCGAAATCCAGAAAGAATTTTTATGATATGTAAAAATATAGATCTTAAATTAAATAGATATTGTGTTACTGAATTATTAGATACAGATTTAAAACGTGTCATTGATAAAGAACATGCTAAATTAAATTAAGATCATTTTAAACTCTTTTTATATCAAATTCTTAGAGCACTTAAATACATGCATTCTGCAAATATTTTACATCGAGATTTAGTATAATTTATTAGACTATAAATAATAGAAACCAACTAATTTATTACTAAATAAATAAGATTGTATGTTGAAAGTTTGTGATTTTGGATTGTCTAGAGCATTATTATAGACAACTAAAACATAATAATAAAATCCTAATATTATGACTGATTATGTTGAAACTAGATATTATAGAGCACCAGAATTATTATTGGGTCTTAAAACATATACATAAGCAGTTGATATTTGGAGTGTTGGATGCATTTTTGCTGAAATTGTTAGAGGAAAAACTTTGTGGAGAGGTCAAAATTGTAAATTATATTTAATTCATATCATTAGCCAAATAATAAATTAAAATGATATTTGAAACTATTGGAACACCTTCTAAGACTAAAATAATGTAAGTTTAAGATACATTTGTATCACAAAAATTAGTTGAACTTGTTCAAGAATTAGGAACTTTAGAAAAAGTTCCATGGGATAGAGTAGTAAAAGGATTACCACCTGAAGGATATGATTTATTAGAAAAACTATTAGAAATTGATTATAAGAAAAGAATCACAGCAGCTGAAGCTCTAAAACATCCCTATTTAAAAGAATTACATAATCCAAGTGATGAAGTATATTATTTAATATAATATTATATAGCCAACTAGAGTTCCTGTTTCTAATATGGAATTTGAATTTGAAATGTATGAATTTACAAATGAGTAACTTAAAGGTATATTTAAATTATATTTTTTAATAGATATGATTTATGAAGAGATACTATTATATCATTATCCAGATTTTAAGAAATCTTATGAAGACAAGATTGCCAATAATTAGAGTGTTATCAGTCACATTATGAAAGGAGAAAGTGCTAAAATTATTGATCCAGAAGCTGATGATGATTATCCAATATGATGTTAAATAAAGATATATATATATATATAATATACAAAAATTTAAAGGTTTTCAAATCATTTTCAATCATTTACTAATAGCTTAATTATATTTATACTATCAGCTAGGATGAAATCTATAAGAAGTTCTAGTAATACACTAAATTGATCCTCTTTTTATGACTGACTTTTATCTTTAACATAAATCCTACAATATTATAGCAGATACTTGTTTTGTTTACATTTTGGCTTTGATATCTTATGACTTTTGTAATGAACCTGAATAAATAAATATAACATACTCTCTTCCACTTGAATTCAATTTAAGTAAATTTCTATTTACATAGTGGACATGTATTTTCGATCTAAAATGATAAAGGTTATATACATTTGACCATTTTTTAATGCATTCTGAACAAAATGAGTGATTACAACTATCCAAAACTCCCTAAACCTTCAAACATCTCTTACTTAATTCTCTATTGCATTATAACATATTCCACATTATTCAGCCTTGGATTAAAATCTAGTTTGTCTTTAAACTTGTTCCTTCATGTTTATTTTATATTTGTAAAAAATAATAATTAGAATTATTGAAATTAAATCACCTTTCGTCATTCTTATATCGGTTTTTCTTTTCATTTTTACAATATCTCTATTAATGTTATTAATAAAGAAAATGATAAGATTTATCTAACTAATACTTATAATTAACTAAAACTTGATCATAAAATATTAGTTTAAACAATAATTTTAAGTCTAAAAAAAAGTAAGTTATTAAATTTAATTAAGTAAATATCTTAATTAAGAATATTATAACTTATGTAATATTTATTCTCATTTTTATAGAATTGAAATTGTATATTTTATACTTTATATTATTAATAATGAACAAATAATTTACACTTAAAAAAGCATTCTTCTAAATTAATATTTAAGATATTAGAGGTAAAAAGAAGGCTTGTGAAATATGTTAAAAGGATTTTAGTGTGTTATAGAAGGAGCATTAATGTAAGAGATGTAAAAGAGCTGTTTGTTATTCATGTTCATAAAATAAAGAAATAATCTATAAAATTGGTTTATATAAATCTGCTTCAAGTGTTGATTAAAAACCTCATAGATAATGTGATTTATGTCATGAAGAATCTAAAAGAATGAGATAATTTATTTAATCTAATAGTCTTGCCTTTGGAAAAGACACATTATGTGAGAGATGGCTTAAATAAATGAATAATAAAAAGAATTATGAAGAAATTGTAAAGGATTATTATGATAATTTAAATGATCCTTAATTTGAATATAAATTCATGAATTAAGATGCATCTGAAAGCATGGCATTTACAAAATATAAAAATGCTATAAATAATATGTATAGTAAATTAGTTGATTACTGTGAAGCATACAATTATTCATTTTAAGAATTTTATCATCATATTACTTAAAAGAAAGATGCTACATCAATTTAAAATGCCATTTGCAATATTATTAAAGCATTTCTTAACAAACATGTAAGTGTATATATATAGGATTTAGCCAAAATTTGGATTTGATGATGAATTTATACTTGTAGTACAATTCTTTTTAAGTTTTGCTTCAGAACCATTAGCATTTATGTGTCTCTCATATTTTTATGAATTAGTATATCCTAGAGAACTATATTATACTTTTCTTAAATCAAACGATTATGATATAAAGAAATACTCAAAACTTATTTTATCATTATTAGATTCAGTATTCCATCTTTAATCATCAGATGTTTAAAAAATATAATCTTATTTAAAACATGATTTTTAGAAATTAGCTTTGACTTTATCAATTAATTCTTTAACTTTTGAAAACACTTTTCTATTAATAGATAATTGTATTAAAGTTGGTAATTTTTTGGAATTCTCAAAAGGATTGACAGCAATATGTTCATTGAGAATTGAAGAAATAAAGAAATATGCTGATGTTTCATATGAGAAATTGGCTGTAAAGATTTTAAGAAATGTTGAATTTAGAGAATTATAAGAATAATTAAAAATGTTTGAAGTTGTAGATTAAAAAATATAAGATAAAATAATAAAATAGTTTATTTAAGAAGAATAGAAAGCAAATTTTATATTAGATGATAAATATCTATAAAATAAAATATTATCAAGTGATTAATACAAAGAATTATAATATAAATATGAACTTTTGGATAATGAGAAAAATAATTTGAAGAAATAAATAGAAGAACAAAATAAAATTTATTAAATAACATTAGCAGAAAATTAATAATAAAATTAATAAATTTAATAATTAAAAAATGAATTGTCAAAAATTAAATCTGAATTATTTGATCTTTAAAATTTACCATAAAATATATAAACAAATTAATTATATACAGGTGGAAGTGATTAATCTAAATTTGTTGCACTTTTATAAGCTTAAATTTAGGAGTTAAGAGCTTAGTATTAAGGTTTAGAAGAAGAATTATAGACAGCACATAATTAAATTAATAATAAGAATGTAGAAATTAGAAAATTATAAAGTAATGTTAGAGAAAATAGTAAAACTTTAACTGATTTGGCTTTTGAAAATCATAATTTATAATATGAATTAGATTCTAATCTAGGAAGATCAAGAACAAGTACAAGATCAAGAACTTAAATTGAAGATAAATTATCATATGAAATGTTAGAAGAAAAATAAAAGAGAACAGAAAAGGCTTTAGAATAATTAAAAGAATAATATGATGAATTAAAATTAAATCTTGGAGAATAAGAATTAGAATTAGTACGTTCTAAAAGATTTCAATAAGAAGCATAATTTACAATAAGCACACTTTAATTATCAATTACATCATTAGAATAATAATTATTAGATGAAAGATAAATAAATTAGAAAAATGTTGAAATTAATAAAGAAAGACTGGAGATATAATATTAGAAAATGAATGAAAGTTTAGAAATAGTATATAGTAGAAATGATAAATTGATGACTGAAAATGAATAATTGAAAAAGGATTTAAAAGATTCTTAAGATTTATGTCAAGAATAAAAATAAATAATCAAATTATTATAAGAAGAATATGAAAAATAAAAGTATTTAAATGAAGAATAAGAGAAGATATCATAAGAATTTAAAAGCAGAGATTTAGAGAGATAATTTGATGTATTTGAAACATTAAAAGAAAATGAGGATAAAGAAAAAGAGTAGTTGGCTATCTAATTATTTAAAAAGATAGATGATTTAATTAAGGAAATTTAATTCAGAAGTATAGATTAATTATTAAAAAGAGAATAATTAAATAAATTATTTAGAGAAGTAATATAATCATATTATTATTATTAGAGTGCATAACATGAAAAAGCTATGAGAATACTTTTAGATAAAGTAGAAAATTATACTGATAAAAAGTTAATGCATAATCATTCAATTTCATCATAATAATAATCTTTAAGATTAGAAGCCTCAATTAAAGCATAGGATGGATTAAATGATAAAGAAAGAACAATAAACACTTCAGATAATAAAAAATAAGAAGATTGCAAAATAATGTGATATTTTATTAATTAATTATATAATATAATTATTCTGATAGAAAATTAAAAATTTTAATATATAAACAAGTTGATAAATCAATTGTAATATGAGACCTTTTGATGAATAAAGTATATGAAATAATATAGATGATTATTAACAATTGAATTTTGATCAAAGTAATAAGTTGTAATAATTATATTTTAATAAAAAGTAATACCCAAATTTAGTTGGTTAACTATATATGAAAAACTTAATCAATTATTATGAAGAGAATAATCATACTGTTGAATTCATGTTGGAAAAATGACAAATTAAAATTAGAATAAATAAAAAGAATATAATATTTGAAATCTTAAAATAATTTGATCAATTTCATACATTATTTTCTTTATTAGTAATGAAAGTGAGATATAATCTATATTATTAATATTAAGATTTATATACTAATGTATAGATGACAGTAGAATGAGTATATTTTTTAAATGATATTATTTGAATTTTAATAATTCTATCATGATAAAATCATTATGTATATCAATTTTTAACAGTTAACATTTAATATTTAACAGCAATAAATTATTTACAAATGAAAGATGTTTTTGGCTGTTATAAAATTCACTTAGATAAGAAGATTAATTAAGGGAGTTAAGCAAATATTTATGAATGCACCAATACTGACTCGAATAGTCGTTGTTGTGCAAGAGTGATATAAAAAAGAAATGACAATTATTAAACAGATTAATAGTCATATATGAGAGAGCTTTAAGTCTTAGAATAATTAAAATGGATAAGACATGATAATATCTTAGCTATATATGATTACAAAGAAGAGGAAAACTATATTTATTAGTTTTGTGATATTTGTGATGGCACATTACTTGATTTTAAGAAAGGATAAAACATAACAAGAAAAGATTTTTTAGATTTAATATAATAAATAAGTTCTGGATATCTTATATTGAAAAAAAATAAAATAATTCATAGAGATTTTAAACCAGAAAATATTCTGATAAAGAAAAAAGGCGATCAAATTTAATATAAGGTATTAATATTAATTTATTAAGATTGCTGATTTTGGTATGAGTAAATTATTTGATGATAAAACAAGGATTAATACCAATATGGTAGGTACCTAATAATATTGTTCTCCAGAAATGCTCTCTTTAACAAACTATAGTTATGAATCTGATATATTTTCAGTAACAATATTATTAAAGTTAGTTTGGTATTATACTGTTTGAAAAAGCAGCAGGCAATCTTGATTTATATAATGATAAAAAAAAATAAAAAAAATTGTTAGAAGCACTTAAAACACAAAGTTTCAAACAATACATATAAAATAATTTGATTGAGAATTAAATATAAGAATATATTTTAGATATTTTAGATAAACTGATAGTTTAAGATTCATAAAAAAGAATGACTTGGGAATAGTTGAATAGCTTAGCCACTAATTAATTGGATGAATTTCATTCATTCTTCCAACCAATATCAGATTTTAGATAAAGAGGAACAGTTAGTTTATATCAAATTAGTAGTAAAACAGAACCTTCATCTAATGAAAATTTGACTATAAATAAAAATCTTAAAGATTCATAACTTAAAACTCTGAATATTTAAGCTAATTCGGATTAATTTAAGATTTTACCCTAATAACGTATATATATTAATAATCATATAGATTTTCCTTAATTTTTCAAATAAAATTAAATTTGTAAATAAAAATAGTTAATTAATCCAATATTTGGATACTCTACTCTCAATAAAGAAGCATAAAAATTTGATTTTAATAATTAAAATCAACAATACAGTAATTAAAACTAAAAAGAAAAATAAATTATTTAATAAAGCTTTGATTTTACAAATATTTAAAATGTTAATCCAAATTTATTCGATAAAAAACAATAGACATTTTAGAATGGAAAGTGATTTATATTTCATTATTATATATTTACTAAAAATAATAGTTTATATCATTTAAGATATTATTTTAATAATTTTTTTCATAAATTATCATTCCCATAAAATAGAAGGAATTTTTAATC